GACGAAAGGGGGGGGGGGGAAAGCAGCAAAGCAGGGGTTTGGGTGGATGAGAGAAAGAGAGAGTGATAGCCAGCCAGAGGAAAAGATGCGTTGAGCTTCTTCTGCGGAAGATGGAGCGAACAATCAGATATTTGACTGGAGTTCTCTGCACCGAACTGGAAGAGGAGGTTGGTAGGTTGCAAGCAAAATCATCGCCCTGAAAGAGGAGTCTATGGTGTAAGAGGCCATGTGGGTGGATCCCCTCCTTAAGTGGCACCTCAAGCAGTTCATGAGCTGCAGGCTCCTTGAGGTTTTTTTCTTTCTTCCCTTTTCCTCTCTGTCATCCTGATTTCCAATCTCTGTTTTACCTTTAATGGAGCATGGGAAGGAAGGAGAAGGTGGTTTTCCCCCCTTTCCTTTTTTTTTTAAAGGCCCCCAGCCAAGCAATTTAGAGTAATCTTTCAGCAACAAACAGTGCCTTTGGCATAGAAGGAATTTGATAAACAAGGAAATGGGCCGGTAATCCTTCAGGGCTTCCGAGTGGCAGGCAAAGTGGCAGGCAAACTGGGGAGAGGCCATCTGGAAAGGCTGTCTTCCCTCCCTGCAGGATTGTGCCTGGTGTGTGTGTTTGGGCAGGGCAGAGTTAAAACAAACTGCACAAAAAGTTTATTTATCTTTTGAGGATGCCTTTCAGGCATTACATTTTCGTGTACAGAAAAATAATAATGGTGTTTTTATCTTACATCCAAAAGAGTGTTTCTTATGCTGGATTCTTGAAAAAATCCACTGTTGGTTTTGTTTCCTCTTCATTTATTCCTAACCTTCACGAATCTGCATTAAATTCTCTAGTTTTTTTAATCGCCACAAAGGAATTAGGGCATTCCCCCCCCTTCCTAAAGCAACAGAGTATGCTTTTATCATCTACCTGCTGTTTAGCTTAGGGTTTGTGTTTTTTTTAAATGATTGGTACTTGGTATTGTTTTTATGACTCATGTTAGACTTTTTAAAGAAAATATTTCATGCCATCTGTGTTTCATTTAGTTCTGTTTTGTTTTATGGCTGTGTATGTGGGTAAAAAAATGTAAAGAGGACGGTGACCCATACGTTTCGGAACTAAATGTTTACACCCCAGCTTCAGAGTCGGTTGCGTTTGTGATCTCCAGCGAGAAGAAGCAGTTCTAGATTGTTGTCAGCAGGCTTTCAGGCTGGCCTTGATCTCTTGGGAACTGCAGGATTTTATTCAGTAAAGGTTTGTGAGAGGAAGCTTGCAAGTTTAGTAGGAGGGCAGCTTATGGTTCCACAGGCGCTTCACGGTGCAGTGGTTGGACTGCAGTACTGCAGTGAAGAATCTACTCACGATTGTGCATGCATTTGATCCCAGTGGATTCGGGACTGTGCATGCATTTGATCCCAGTGGATTCGGCTAGCTAGCTCAAGGCTGACTCAGCCTTCCGTCCATCTGAGGTTGGTAAAAAGAGTACCCAGCTCACTGACAGGGATGAGTGTCAATGGTGTAGCCTGCATAAGCAAATTATAAACCACCTAGAGAGAGCTTTAAGCACCGTGGGGCAATATATAAGCAGCACCCTTTGCTCTCCTTCCATAACATTTGCAAACAGCAGGCTTTGGGGTGGCATTTTGGGGCATCCCATGCAGGCTTTTCCTGTGTTAAAGGCTCAACACTATGATCTTGGAGGGAGGGGACATGTTGGTTATACCTGCGAATCAGAACTCCAGTTTTAAAAGACAGCCCAGTTGAAGCAGTAGCACTTTTGAGCCGGGTGGGGTGGGGTGGGAATCTGCAGGAGTTACTCTGGCCCTTTGAAAATATCCTTTTCGCAACTGATGCTTCTGTGGGTCTGCTCCATTTTACAGTTCCTAGTCAAAAAGCATGCAGGTTTCTGCAAGGATCCAGTTTTAACAAAGCACATAACGTGCTGGGGTTCACGGCCTTTCATAACTTACCTCCCACCCATCCTTCTATTAAAATAGCCAGCTCAGCTCCTGCTATAAAGGAGACAAAAAACTCACCTTTACCAAGAAGGTTTATCCCTTTACGGACATTCATTTACTCATATTTGTCATTTATTCAGCAAGTACGGAGGATGTAACAATCACAGGTTGTGTCGCTGGGAGTAAACACAAACAAATAACAATTCTATTAGCAATTGAAAATCATAATGATACTTTTGAGTATAAATACTAGGGTTACGCTAACTGCAAAGTAAAAAGGGTGGTAATTTGGGATGTTTTTTTAAAAAAATTAATTGAGAATAAATTGGCTTGCTTGGATGGATGTGCTATCCACCATAATGATTCTGTCAATTTTATGCTGTGAAAATTATTTTCCACCGGCACAACTTTTATCGGCCCGCTGGCGTGTTGTGCCATGCATTGAGAACCACGGAGTCAAAGAATGTTCCTGCAAGAACAAGGTTACTAATGGGATTGCCGAGAGATATGATTTTAGGGTTGATTTTCTTTACTGTTTTTAATATACTTGTTTATTTCGTTTTTAACATTTGTATACTTACTGTCTTTAGCTTTTAAATATTGTCGTTTTGATGATGTAAGCCGCCTTGTGTCCTTTTAAAGAGAAAGGTGGGGGGGGGGAATATTTTAGATAAATAAATAATAAATGACCAGTTGCCAAAACCAGTCCTAAAATGTGAAAACTAGGTCTGACGGTACCTCCCCACCTGCCCCACAAGGAGAGTGAGTTATGATTCTTTTTAAATGGTTTTTTTTCCTCCAGGTCTGTGGTGGGTTCTCTTACTCTCTTGAGCAGCTATTTTAAAAAGGGCTCTGGGACCCATTTACTGTATTTTATTCTGCCCCGTCTAGAGCTGAACTCTGACCCTAAGGGTCACGTCTGGACGGCCGCCGGCTGGCTCTGCTCCACCCCAAAGCGTTTTTCTTCTGTGGATTTACTACTGAATTCAACTTGCAAAAGCTGGCACTGACCTCACCCTTTGCTGCGCGTTTAATAGAGTCGATGAGGCATGATTAACCAACCCGTCTCTCCATCTTTCTCTCTCTTCTGTTTCCGTCAGGTCCTGAAACACGTTGGCACTGATTCCCCCTCCCGTTCGTCACCCGCTCTGCTTCTCTGTGTTCCTGGCTCACAGACGGAAGCCCCCCGTTACAAACCATACAGGTGAGGAAAACTTCAGAAACGGGCAGTGTTTCCATGGATCGGTCGCATCCAGAACCTGAGAATGTTCCTTCTTATGCACTGCGAGTCCCAGAATCCTTCCTTCCCTCTCCAAGGCTCAGGACGATGGATGTGGTTCCTCTATTTCCTTTTCCTCCATCTGTTTTCATCCTTGCACAACAACCGTGTAAGGGAGGCCGGGTGGACCAGAGACCGGAGAGCTTAAGAATGGAAGGAGGTGCCTGAGCTGTTTCCCTCCAGTCTTGTTCAAACGCTTAGCTTCTGCACTGCAGCGGATTTTGTTCTGTCTGTGCCTTTCCCCCCTTCTTCATTTCCTCCAAATAGGAGGGTATTCGAGTTCTGTTTATGCCAGAAGCACCTAATAAGCTCTGGACAATAACAAAAATAATTCTGTGCCATTCAATCCATCTGGCTTAGCTAGGCTACATCGGAGGTTCAGCTGCCTTCCTGTGAGTAGAGCCAGCCCGCGTGGCCTTGGGCAAGCCGCACACTCCCAGGGCGACCCAGGAAGAAACTTAAACCGCCGAGCTATCCGGCAGTTCCTTCAATGCCTCCTGCGCGGCTGCTACTCAGCAAGCGCCAGCCCCAGATTTCAGCCCTTTGCTCACGGCCTCGGGTGCACCGGGCGACCGACCGCCTGGGAGTTCCTGCCCTGATGTGTTTACCAGCCTTTCCTCCCCTCCCAGCCCCGGCCGGCCTGCCTGCCTGGTTCTGTTTACTATCCGGTTAAAGTGTGGGCGTTGCTCTTGTTTTCAAGGGAGATGCCACTTCCCGGAAGGAGAAAAGCCATCTTTCCTTACTGCATTGCCCACATCTCGCTGGCTTTAATTATCCCCTCTCGTTTAAGTGGGGGCGGAATTGATCTGCCTGTCGATTTGGCCGGAGCAGTTGATGACCCAGCTTAAAAAAAACAAAACCCAAATAAACAAACACACCGTCCACTCCGGAGCTACATTTTTGCCACAATAACCGAGTCCTCGGTGTGATCATGAGCAGTCGCAAATGGTGCGGCTGGAATGTGGCCTTTCCCCTTTTGCGCAGCTACATTTTTGCCACAATAACTGAGTCCTCGGTGCGATCATGAGCAGTCGCAAACGGTGCGGCTGGAATGTGGCCTTTCCCCTTTTGCCGTGGTTGGGCCATCATTCCTCCCCCCCCACCCGAGTGTGCACATGTGTGTGTGCAGAAGTGTCTTTCCACCCCATCGTTTTTGGATTCCCCCCTCCCTCTTGCCTGCTTGGGGAGGAACTGAAGCTACCCTGTGGTGTGATGAGGTGTGTCAGTGGGTCTCCAATGTGCTTATCCCTGGAGGAGAAATGGGGGGGTGGAGGAGGGGGAAAGGTGCTCAAGCCATCCAGCTTGTGGGCAGTGGGCCTTCGCTTCACATTTATAGGATTCTAGCTAGGTCTGAGCTGGCTCTGTGATTTTTTTCCCTGTGTGGTTGACCCCCCCCCGTGCCCTGGAATCACAAGGGATGAGAAACACAAAGCTTAGCAGAAAATGGATGTTGGCTAAGCAAAACAGGAGAGGGTTGGGCTAACTTTGTTCTCAGAGAGCCTCCAGCTTTTCATTTGACCATCTATTGCCGGCCAGAAATGGAGAGTTAATGAATCTCCCAGGACTTCCATCATCTAAGGCAGGGTCTCCCCTAAAGCTAAAAATTCGGAGCAGGGTTGCAGCACGGAGAGTCCTAGATCACTTAAGCAAGGAAGCCAAGCTGCATGCTGCAGGGAAGGGGCCACTTCCTCCCCTTTGACACACACACACACCCCCGGTCAACCTCTTGAAAAATCTGATCAGGGGCAGGGTGGGGAACTCTGTTCTGACAGCCCAGATTTTGGGTTGGAAATGAAACCTACGTCAATTATCCCAGTAGAAAACACAATGTTTTTCTGCGGGCCAGACTGAAGAGCGCCAGTAAACCTGTCGTGTGTGCGCGTGTGTGTGTGCTTACCCTTTCTGCTCCTCTCTCTCCTCTCCCCACCCTAACCCTCTTCAAACTTGTAACGGATTCTTAAGCACCTGGAGCCATCCGTGCCAGACTTAATTGTCTGTAGCTCCAGACAGGTTCGGATGCCAAACGCCTCAATGGCCACTCAGCACACTCTAAAATCCGCCGTGCAAAACAGCAAGCAGGGCCTGTGAAGTCGTTCTGCAAACAGCCAGATGTGTGTGTGGGGGGGGGATGCCCTTTGGTGCCCTGTTCCAATGGAGCCTGGGCAGGGGGCCATCTTTCGCCACCCAAGAGAGCCGGCCGGTGGAAGCCACTTTCTGGCCTCCTCTTGGCTTTTCCGGCAGGCTCCGTAGCTCCCTTCTTCTTGGAACGCCATCCTCGGTTCCAGCTTTTTGCAGCTGGGCTGCCGATCCCAGGGTGTCTGACTACAACCTCCAGCCTGTTCACAGACAGCACACCAACTAGGGCTTGTTGCTGTTTAGTCGTGTCCGACTCTTCGTGACCCCATATGGACCAGAGAGCACTCCAGGCCCTCCTGTCTCTCCACTGCCTCCCATAGTTGGGTCAAAGTCATGTTGGTAGCTTTGATGACGCTGTCCAACCATCTCGTCCTCTGTCGTCCCCCTTCTCCTCTTGCCTTCACACTTTCCCAACATCAAGGTCTTTTCTTCTCATGAGATGGACAAAGTATTGAAGCTTCAGGACTGGGGCTTAGGGCAGATCTAATCCCATCATGTGTAAGACAGCTTGGGGAAGCCTGCCTTATTTGTTTGTTTGTTTGCTTGCCTGTTTTCCTTAAAGGAGAGCATATGTATGTGCAGCCCTTTTCCTTCCTCTGATCCACTGCCCATGCAATTCGCGCATGCCGCCCAGAGCAATGGGTTTCTGATCTCGCGACTGCTTGTTTAGCACAAGAGGGCTGTGTGGCTCCAGTTCTCATAGCTGGAGAAAATCAGCTGGAAAAATGTTCCCGAGTCAGGCTGATGCTGAAATCCACTTCTGTGAGCCTTGCAGCCTGTTCAGGCGCGCGTTTCGTCCGGTTGAGGCCTGGCCTTCCTGCTTGATTCATAAGCCCTTTGCTTCTTTCACCTTTGCAGGTAGACGTTTTAATGCATAAAAATGACCAACATTACACAGATATCCAAAGACGAGCTAGAGGAACTGAGAGAGGCCTTCGCCAAAGTCGGTAAGTGGTTTTGAAGATCGGCGTTTGCCTTAAACTGTGTGAAGCGGAATTTTGTGTGTGTGTGCATTTGTTCATTCATTTATGTAAACATTTCGAAAAGATGAGTTGCAATCAGCAAAAAAAAAATCACATTGAATGAACCTAGGACAGCTCCAGTCCTTCCTAACAATGCAATAATTTTTAAACAGTTTGGAAACAAGTTAACTATTGAAGGAGAGCAAAAACCAGCCAGTGAGGGCTGCAGATCATTCTGCTTTCATCGCTGTTCTCACTCATAAGAAATATAGTACGTGTAGTGCACTTACCCAGATAATCCCATGTGACTTGACTGTGACTTAAAAGAAAGAGAAGGACCAGTATTGTAAAAATTCTCTACTGCTACCAACTGCTAATGTTGCCAACTGCTAATGTTACCAACTGCTAATGTGATGCGGGCCAAGGGGCTGTGCGTACGCCTGCTGTGCCCGCATGGATGCTGTCCTGTCATGCTCATAATACAGGGAAGAGGGTGGTCGGGCAAGAGGAGAAGGGGTGGCAGGCTTAGCTTCCCTTGGCAGGGAGTTTTGCCACCTGAGAGCAGCCACTGCGAACATTCTTCAAACCACCCCTGTGAAGGTAGCGAGAAGGTCTCTTGCCAAAGTCTTTGGGAGATGTAGAAACCGGGCCGTCCTTGCAAGGCTGTCAGAAGCCAGGAGGGTTGATGCTGTTCACTTCCATCTTTGCTTACTGCTTTTCTTCCCCAAATATGGGACGTCTCAAGACTGCATTCAAAAGGCAGTTGAAATGCAAGAAAGAAAAGGGTGGAGGCATTAAAGCGTAGTCCAGACAAATGGATAAACACAGCAGGGTAACTAAAAAAGAAAGAAAAGGAGGTGGCATAAGGATGTATCTGGGGGGGGGGACGCCAGTGGTGGGAGGCTCAGGCGTCTCTTCCTTTCAGCCTTGGTGGGTGCTGCCCTCTTGTGGCAAGACCTTGGCCCGGTGGCCACAAAAAGAAACGAAGCATCTTTACTAGCCAGCCCCAGCCACACAAGGGTTATAAAAAAGCAGCAGCTACTTCCCCACTCCAGGTTGGCGCCCCCCCTCCGAGGGGGTGGTCCTGTGGCTGCCGCCTTTGTGCCTGTGGGCCTTTGGCAGGAAGGGGGTGGATCGCTTCCCCGCCCCTCAGGGCCGAAGGTGGGCAGGGTGACCCGACGGAGCCGGCTGGTCTGAATAATTCAACCCGTACGGGAAAAGGAACAAAGATGGCCCCAGGCAATGTTAGGAGTTCCTTCTCCCGCAGTGTAAGAGGGCTTCACTTCATGAACGCCCATGGAAGTCAATGGCTTTTTAAAAGCAACCTTCCTTGGGGTGCTGTCTTAGCATAGCCTTCAAGAGCACCCGAAGGCAGCACTCTTTAGGCACAATATTTCACCCGGGGCCTTCGTTAACCTGGTTTCTCCTCTTTTTTTTGGTCCTTGGCACGGAAGATCTGAACAGTAATGGGTTTATCTGCGATTATGAGTTGCATGAACTTTTCAAGGAAGCCAACCTTCCCCTTCCTGGATACAAAGTGCGGGAAATCATCCAGAAGCTCATGATTGATGGGGACAAGAATAAAGATGGGAAGATCAGCTTTGAAGAATTTGTTTACGTAAGCCTGTTTAAAACTCCCTGTTCTTCGTCCGTGGTGCCTTTTCCCAGAATGTCAGCGTCTGCTCCTGTTGAAAAACATCATCCGAAAGCCACCTGTTTTCCTGTCCCAGGGTTAAAAACTATGGGGATAAATCGCACGTCCTTACTTTATCTGTAGGTCCACCTAAATATCCTTTGAAGGCTTTCCAGACTTCTTGTCTCTCGATTCATAATGAAAATAAGATGTCACGTTGTAGAGCGGAGCCCAAATGACATTGGACTCAATGAGAATTTGGCATTATTCCATAGCTCAAGTTTGCTGTTTTAAGATTTTGAGTCTCCTAGCTCTATTTTTTTGGGGGGGGGGAATCACCACAAAAAAACCCCACCAGTCTCAAAATAACCAGACAGACTGCTTTTGAATCTGACGAGAGTCTTAGAAACAGCTTACAATATGGCACAGTGAAGTGTTATATTTTGTCAGACTCTTTTTTTTTTGTTACCTTATATACCTTGTTGGAAAGGCACCGCTCTCACACATACCTGAGAGACGGTGTTACCAAGTTTGGGTCAAACGGAGGTTCCTAGAAATGCCACAAGAACACCCACCCCAGCCTTCAAAGGAAGTAGCCCTAAGGAAGAGAGGGAGCCCCCCCCCCCCAAAAGATCTGTCTGGTCAAGAGGGAGCATGCCCCTGTGCGGAGGAGAAAGGGGTGGGATGGAAACTTTTGGGCAAGGTCAGGGGCTGGCTGGAGACCTAACAGGACCACTTCACGGGGCGAAATTTCCTTGCACGTCTCGGTTTCCCTGCGTTGCTTAAGCCTGTTTCTAAGTTGTCATACTGGAGACGGCAAGCAGGAACTCAGAAGGCTGAACTAGAAAATCCCCTTCGTTGGGAAACCTGGATGGTGGTGAGGAAGAGGAGGATTGAAGCTTGAAGGTGTCTCGTTTTCTGAAAACATGGAATGCCCTCCCACGGGTGGCCTGATACGAGCTTTCCGAGTGCTGTAGGGGAGAAAGCCCGTCCGGCGTCGGGTGGCCTCCTTTTTGCTGGCCGAGCCATGGAAGGTCTCCCTGTGTTTGTACTCGTAGATCTTTCAAGAGGTGAAAAGCAGCGACATCGCCAAGACGTTCAGAAAAGCCATCAACAGAAAAGAAGGGATTTGCGCCATCGGGGGGACGTCGGAGCTCTCCAGCGAGGGCACCCAGCATTCCTATTCAGGTAAACCTGGGCCGTGCACCCACCCACCCATCACCTTTGGGGCCGATGCCGTCCGCAGCTGGAAGCCCCCGGGGTCGGTCTCTCTGTGTGCCCTTGGGAGGGAACAGCTGGCACGTGGGCAGTGGAGGCATGAACGCAGCGACATTGGAAGCTGTCTTTTACGGAGTCAGGCCCCACGGATCTGTTTAGCCTAGTCTTGCCCGTTCTGAGCATCGTCCAGGGCTCTCCGGGGTTTCAGCCTGGATTTTCCCCCTAGAGAGACTCCGACCAGTTGGGCTTGGGACCTTCTGCAAGGCAAAGCATATGCTCAGCCACCAAGCCCGTGACGTCCCTCCACAGAGCATGTGATCTTTCTTAGCCCAGTGCTGTCAATGAGGGTTCAGGCAGGATTATTTCTTAGCCCTACCTGGAGATTCCTCCCACTGGTCTCCCTTCCAACCCTGCTGAGCTTCCAAAATCGGGAAATGATTTTCCTTAAAACCGTCTCTACGCCGGTGACACCAGCCTGTCATACAAGCCAAAGCCAAGGGTCCATGTGGAGGTGCATGCATTTCACTGATGCATGCATTTCACGCATGCTCTTGTGGACCGTTCCGGTCACCCTTTTCTTCCTCTGCTGTTTGCATGGTGCAGTTTGAGCCGAGGAAATTCCCGGTCTACGGTTCCCTAAAACTGTGCGAGTTCCAGAAGGAACATCCGCATTTTACTGCTGTGCGGGCACAAAATCCTGTACTTTTCCACCCCTACCTCTCCTTGTCCCTTGGCTTCTGTCCCCTTATGATTTGGAAACTAAGAGAAAGGCAGCCACAAGGTTTTCTGGAGGTGGATATAAGATTTGAGTTAGCGGGGTGGGGGGTTTATTTTATTTTTATTTTGCCGGCATGACAGTTTGAGGTGGTAAACGCACAGGCCTGTTCAACCACCTCTCTCTCTCTCTTCTCTAGAGGAAGAAAAATACGCTTTTGTGAACTGGATAAACAAAGCTTTGGAAAACGACCCAGATTGTAGGCATGTTATTCCAATGAACCCGAACACCGATGATCTCTTCAAAGCTGTTGGGGATGGGATCGTGTTGTGGTAAGTGGCGAGAGAGCAGAGGGTTGTTTCGAGCTACGAAAGAAACCTGGAAAGACGTAGGAAGGAGACAGTTGACTGCCCCCACCAGTAGTGCAAAAGGCTTTTTGAGTTCGAAAAATCCATGACATGGGAGTGTTTCCATTTTCAGTGGAGGATATTTCAGTATTCTTGTCCCTTTTAACCTCAGTGTGGCGTTGTTTCTCAAGTAGTTGGTTTTTTTTAATTTCATATTCCTGGTTTTCATTTTATATATATAGATATAAACATTTTAGTAATAAGAACTGAGGACAAAGAGAACAGATGTAACTCTCAGTTAAATAACAACTGATCATGTGATTGGGTGTACATTAAATACAAGTTGAACATTAAACCAAATTCTGTATACAGTTGTAAGGAATTTTTTTCCTTTATCGGACTTAGTTATCTAATTAACAACACAAATTATAAAATTCCTGGACAAATTTATTCTGGATGTAATTCTTTTTTCTCCCCTCTCCTCTTCCTCTCTCTGCCAGTAAAATGATCAACCTCTCTGTTCCTGACACAATTGATGAAAGAGTAATCAACAAGAAGAAGTTAACGCCATTCATCATTCAGGTGAGGGGGGGATCCTTGTTCCATCTTCCTCTCCCGCCCCCCCCCCGAAAGGTTTAAATAATGCTGGGGTTTGTGCATTCAGCTGAAAGAGGGGCCTTGTTTGCCTTTAATAATTCAAAGAGCCTTTGTAACCATCCCTTTGTTTTATATTGAAAGAGGGCCTTCCCTCCGAGGGGAGAGTGTTCTGTAAATATTAATTGAGGGAAAGCGAACTGGGACTGCCCATAATGAAGGCCATGTTTAGAGTTGATTAAAATGGAAAGGTCTTCTGGAGCAGCACCTTGAAAAACAATCTCAGCAGCTTCTCTTCCCCACTCCAATATTTTGGGTCAGCCTCTTTCCCTTCTTCCCTTCCTCTATTTCTCTGGGTTTTGTTTTATTTTTTCTCTGCTGGGGGTTCACCAAAGCATTATCTTGCTTAGGCAGGGAAAGGCCATTTTAATGACCAGCATTTAATGTTGTTTACCCTTTGCAAGTGCTTTGTTTAAAGTTTGCAGGAGAGGCAGAGATTTAACTGCCTGTCTCTGGCTAATCTCTTGCCCGGCCGACTTCCAGTCGGCGCCTTCTGGTGCAAGAGCAGCGCCACGTTGTAGCAGGCCCTTTTTTTCGGGGGGGGGGAGAGGCTGTTCTCGCTGTGGTGGATCTGACCCCCTCAAGGAGAGCCCAAGAATTGTGTCCCCCGCGTGAGCACTTCATTTCCCTGCAGGAAAACTTGAACCTGGCGCTGAACTCGGCTTCCGCCATCGGCTGCCACGTGGTCAACATCGGCGCGGAGGATTTGAGGGAAGGAAAGCCGCATCTGGTCCTCGGCTTGCTCTGGCAGATCATCAAGATTGGCTTGTTTGCAGACATAGAGCTGAGCCGGAATGAAGGTACGCCCACCCGGATCTTTGCCCACTCGACTGGCAGAGGAAATCGCACACATACAAACACACACACCGGGGGCCAATTTACTTGGACAATACTTTTTAAAAGAAGGGTTTGAGTAACATTTCGAGGAGACTTGGAAGTTAGGAAGGTTTTTGTGCTCCTGGTCCCAGAATCTAGGGGTCTAGTTCAAGTGTTCCTGCAAGGTTACCCCTTCTCTCTCCTCTTCCAGCTTTGGCTGCTTTGCTTCGAGACGGAGAGACCTTAGAGGACCTCATGAAGCTCTCCCCAGAGGAGCTGCTCCTGCGGTGGGCAAACTTCCACTTGGAGAACGCCGGGTGGCACAAGATCAACAACTTCAGCTCGGAGATCAAGGTAACGTCGGGGCAAAAAGAGGCTGCGTTGGCTGGGGGCGCCTCAAAACCAAGCCTCTCGCACATCTCTGTTGTTGAGTTGGGTTGGAGATTTCAGACGGGGGTGGTGATTCAGAGCTAGGCTCCTTTCTCAGAAAGCTTTGCCTTCTTTTGGAATCAAAAGTATTTCCCACCTAACCTTCTTCATTCTCTCCTTTCTCATGCTTCCCTGGATTTTTGCTGGCCTTTTCCTCTCTCACCTTCGTCCTTCCCTTCTCTCTCCCCCCCCTTGCTATTTCATTTTGACTTCACAAGCTTACAGACTTCAATAACTCCGTTAAGGTACTAAAGCGATTCATACTTCCCTGGTTTCGCTAATTCCATGGCAATCCTGTCTTAATTGCCTGTTCTGCTTTGCTGCCGCCGGCTGATAGCTCTTGTTTTGATCTCCTCCAGGACTCCAGGGCGTACTTCCATCTCCTCAACCAAATTGCATCCGTCTTCATTGCCTATTCCGCTTTGCTGTGAGCCGGCCACCGGCTGATAACTCTGTTTTCATCTCCTCCAGGACTCCAGAGCGTACTTCCATCTCCTCAACCAAATTGCACCCAAAGGGCAGAAGGAAGGAGAGCCACAGATTGACGTCAACATGTCTGGCTTCAATGTAAGTATCTGCATTGGGGATCCACTCTGGATCTGCAGAGTCCTGCGGTGTCGCCCTCTCTGGGAATTTGTCTCTTCTGAGTGGGAACAGCGAAGAGCTTCCTGGTGCACCAAGGACCAGCCGGTTTTATTTGGCATAAGCTCCTGTGAGCTGCAGCCAGCTTCCTCGGCCACATCGGATAAGCCAGGATGTTGTCCATGGAAGCAAATGGCCATGGCGCCAGGAAACCCTTTATCCTTTTACCTGTCTGGTTATCAGATAATATCTAAAACAGGCTGTTTTGCAAAACCGTCATGAGCTACACTAACTTGTTTCATTGTGCAAACAGTGATTACAGACTACCAATAGATTTTTTTTACGAATACTTGATTGCTTCATAGCCAATTGGGCTATGTGGATAAACAGAAATGAAACCACTTTTTTAAGATAGTATTTGGCATCTTATATTAACACACGATGCGGGTGGCACTGCGGGTTAAACCGCTGAGCTGCTGGGCTTGCCGATTGGAAGGGGAGCAGTCTGAATCCGTGCAACGGTTTAAGCTCCCGTCGCTTTGTCCCAGCTCCTCGCCAACCTAGCAGTTCGAAAGCATGTAAAAATTCGAGTAGATGAATAGGTACCACCTCGGTGGGAAGGTCATGGCATTCCGTGTCTAGTCACGCCAGCCACGTGACCACGGAAAAGTCTGCGGACAAACGCCGGCTCTTTGGCTTATAAACAGGGATGAGCCCCAGGCCCTAGAGATGCAGGGAAAATGTTGCAGGGAAACCTGGCCTTGCGGTGAGGTGGTGAGCCCCAGGCCCTAGAGTTACAGGGAAAAGTTTGCAGGGAAACCTGGCCTTGCGGTGAGGTTTCCTCATTTTAAAAAATATTTAAATCTTCATTTTTAAAAACGTAAGCTTGAACCTTGATTATTGCTTGACTGTTGAGCAGTCTTTCTGGGGTAGCAGGAGGGCGAGCTGACCTGGGAGCAGGTAGGACTGGCATTTTGTCCGGTGGCCATCCTCGCAGCCTGAGGGCTTGCAGAAAGAGCTCCTCAGTCACGCGTCGTGTCCTTCTTCCCCCTTCAGGAGAAAGATGACTTGAAGAGAGCAGAAGCGATGCTTCAGCAGGCAGACAGGCTGGGGTGCCGGCAGTTTGTGACCCCGGCCGATGTCGTGAGCGGCAACCCCAAGCTGAACTTGGCCTTCGTGGCTAACCTGTTCAACAAGTACCCGGCCCTCACCAAGCCTGAAAACCAGGACATTGACTGGACGCTTCTGGAAGGTGAGGTGAAGCTACATTTCTGGGGAGGGCCAACAAAAGGGTTTTTTTCCTGGAGAATGGCTGGGTGTTTTAGATAGTTTACTGCATCCTTATTTATCCAGGATCTCACGGCTTTGCTTATTGTCTTACCTGCTATATTTCTGATAATTTTATGATTCCATCTTCATTACTGTAGACACCTTGTTACTGCTTTTGAGTTGTGTTTCCAAAATGCCCAGGTCCGTATTGGTTTGGTCTGGTCATTGTACCGCACCCCGCTTCCTTGAAAAACGGTTTGTGGATTTTGGTTTTCATTGTGCGCAGGTGAGACCCGGGAAGAAAGAACCTTCCGCAACTGGATGAACTCTTTGGGGGTGAACCCCCACGTGAACCATATCTACGCGTAAGTCTGCCATCGGTGAAACGAACTGGCTCCAGTGCCGTTTCTAAGAAGGGCGGTGGGTTTTCTCTGTTAAAAACAACAGGGGCAAGCAAGCTAACGAAAAGGCAGGCTAATCTCACTCATGTTTTCTGTTTCAGTGACCTGCAGGATGCGTTGGTGATCTTACAGCTCTATGAAAAAATCAAAGTCCCCGTGGACTGGAATAAAGTCAACCGGCCACCCTATCCGAAACTTGGAGCAAATATGAAGAAGGTAACAGTGGCTCTTTGCCCCCAAATGCTCGGTGGTTTTTCCAGAAAACTGGGGCACATTAGCTTGTCCACTCAATTATTCATAGCTTGGAAATTATTCGTTAATAGTGTCAAAGTTACTTGTAGGTAACAAGTTACTTCTTGTAATAAGGTCCCGTCATCACAAATGAGGGATGCAGTACGAAAAGTAACATAACAAGTGCAGAGTCCAGGAAGAAAAAAAGAAAGTGTGGTCCCGAAAGCGACACAAATGCAGGAGTCATTCAATACCTTTTATTGGACCATTAAATATAAAACTGACAGCAAGCTTTCATGGATGAAATCCACTTCCTCAGGCTGTAAGCACACCTCCTCCATGGGTGGTGTGGAACAATTATCCCCAAGTTGATCTTACGTATCTGGGGAGTGAATGTGCATTTTTTTGGTCTAAAGAGCAATGTCTTCTACTTACTTTTTAAAGTTACATCATCATCATCTTAAGAAGGTTAGTGCCATTCTTTTTACTATTGTGAGAGAATTTTTTTCCTCCTCTCTCCCCCCCAAAAAAAGAAGTTAGGAAAAATAACAAAACAGTTAAAAGTCATGCATCAGCTTGAGGAAGTGCAGTAATATTTAACTTCAATGAAGTACTCTCTAAATTAATATAATGAGAAAGAGGGATGAATTATGTTTTGTAAAAGTAGCTCTCTTGCCTCTGGAAGCCTTTGTGAGCCTCTGCCGCAGAACAGCTGTGTTGATGTAGAAGGTTTGGAGGGAACGGCAGACTTGATCCGAGCATTATTTGGGTGGGTGGTCTCGCGCCCGCCCAGTGGGCTCCCAAAAGCACCTGTCCTGCAGTTTCCTTTTTAATTGGAAACGCCCTCACTGAGTGACCCTTGATAAGCTTCCAGGGAATTCCAGGGATCTTGGAGAAGTCGCGTGGAAGCAGCTGCTTTGATCTCTAGCTGTCAAGGATGCAGTCGAGAGAGAGGCTGGCCTTCTTAACGTTGTCCCTTGATTTCTGTGGCGTAGGGGGGAACCTATAGTTAGGTTGCCTAAGGACGTGGTTTGCCTGCAGAAATCCCAGGTGCATAACCTGACACGTGAAGCTGAGAAGATGGCAAAAAAATAAAAAAAATTTAAAAGAGGCTCTCCCTCTTCCTGACTCTGCATGGAGAGCAATCCTAGTCCCGCTGAACAGTTTGATGAGATAGACTGAGGCGATGTAAGGTAGCTTCGTGCTTCCCCTCACAAAATACTAACCCATTTCTCCCTCCCTCCCACTCTTTCCCTTCTTTCGGAACAAACAGCTGGAAAACTGTAACTATGCTGTTGAACTAGGAAAGCACCCGGCAAAGTTCTCTCTGGTCGGCATCGGTGGGCAAGACCTCAACGACGGGAACCCCACCCTCACGCTGGCTTTGGTGTGGCAATTGATGAGGAGGTATTGCCAAGCCTTGATCTCGCGAGGGGGGGGGGTGTCAATCCTTCGCATGTAGAACCGACGCCTTGGGAGTGGTGGTCCAGCTCTCCTCTTGCAAATAGGAGTTGTTAGAAAGGGAAAAGGCAATAATGCTGGGAAAGGCGGAAGGCAGCAGGAAAAGAGGAAGACCCAATACAAGATGGATGGACTCCCTCAAGGAAGCCACAGGGTTGAGTTTGCAAGAGCTGAGCAGGAACTGTTGAGGACAGGGCCTTTTGGAGAGGGTTCGTTCATGGCGTCTTCATGAGTCAGAGGTGGGACTCGATGGCCCATCTGAGCAGAAACTGTTGAGGACAGGGCCTTTTAGAGATGGTTCATTCATGGTGTCTCCATGAGTCAGAGGTGGGACTCGATGGCCCAGAACAAGCAGGAAGAGATTGGGGCTTTTCCTCCTCCTGCTTCCCTTCTTTTTCATTTCTCAACTTAATCTGATCCTCTGCTAAAACTGATCTGCAGAGATGCTTATGTAGCGGTCCTGGAAACCATTGAGAGGCATGGTTTATGCCCCAGAACCACCCTAGTTGTTTCCATTGGCCTTACCCTCTGAGTATGTGTTTGGGTATCGCCTTTCCTCATTTATTTGTATCCTAACACCATGCTGCCAAGAACATCATACAATAGGACCCTCCTATCCGCAGAATCGCTATCCGCTGATTCACTTACCCACTGCCTGAAAACCCCAGGGTGCGTTCACCAGAACTGACCATTAGAAAGAACGAGAGACTATAGCATTCAATATTTCCACATTTTTTTGGCATCCACGAGGAAGCTTGGAACCGATTCCCTGCAGATACTGTGGTCCTTTTGTACGATCTCTCCTGCATCCGTAACCCCATCCATGCCAACCCCTTCGACAATAGCCACAGCTCAGAAATAAGTACTCTTTTGGGCTAGAACTCCCAGATTCCTCAGTCATGGAATTGTAGTTCAGGGAAAAAAAGAAGCAGAGTTTCCAACCTCTGGCTTCCTTAGCACATAATGTAGCCTCCGGGCGGCTGGTTTTATCCCCAACTGAACCGTGGAAAACTTCCCTTTTGCTGGTTCATTTGGCCCCTTTTCCTTTCTCAGTACCTCTCTTCAAAAGCTGCCATCCCTCTTTGCCTGAGGAGTGACACAATCTGCTTTTCTCTGCTCAGATACACTCTGAATGTCCTGGAAGATCTTGGGGATGGACAGAAAGCCAATGATGATATCATTGTGAACTGGGTGAACCAGACGTTGCAAGCAGCTGGGAAATCAAGCTCCATCCATAGTTTTAAGGTGTGTGATGCAACTTCTCTCTCTCTCTCTCTCTCTCTCTCTCTCTCTCTCTCCCTCTCCCCCTTCCATATTTTCCTCCTCTTCCTCTCCCACCCCCAACTTGTTCTCTTTTCTTTTCCTCTCCCACCCCCAACTTGTTCTCTTTCTTAAATAAGTTGAAGAGGTAGCTCAATTTCTGACTCTGCTCCCTCCTGCTTTTTTGCTTTTTTGAAAGATACTGGATATATTTTGGGGCAGAAATACCCACAGCTACATCCTGCAGGCAAATGCCCCTGCCACTAATCTTGTGTCAATAGGGAAAAATATCCTGTGGAATTGAACTGGTCTACATATTAAATCAAAGCAAAGCGGGCTACTTGTATACTTGCAGTGTAGCACTTAAAGTAATCTCTGGGTGGTTTACAATTTAACCATGCAGGCTACACAGTGGCCCCCACACCCGGCAATCCGGGTGCTCAATATACCGACCTCAGAAGGACGGAAGGCTGAGTGAACCTCAAGCCATCTGCTCGCCCCAGGTTTGTGAGCAGAGTTTTGGCTGCAGTGTTGCAGTTTAACCGCTGTGCCATGACGCTCCTTACTGTTCTCCCCGATCCAAAAAAAGAGCACACAACCCTCTGTGGTTTTGCATGCTGTTCATGCGTGTCTTTTTGCTGCCTCCTAGGACAAGAGTATTAGCAGCAGCTTGGCGGTGGTGGATTTAATTGACGCCATCCAACCTGGTTGCATCAATTATGACCTGGTGAGAACTGGAGACCTGTCAGAGGAAGACAAACACAGTAACGCCAAGTAAGTCTTCTCTCTCTTATTTATCATCGATGTTCACCTATTGGGGGGGGAGGGAAAGGAGAAACTGAAACGTTTTGGATGAGTTCATGCAGAGCGTGGAGATCTTTCTGCTTTAGGAGGAGAGATTTCTACGAGCCCGTGGCCACCGGCTGGGAAAGAACCAGGCGGTGTTGTTCTTTAGAGGGTCAATGGTCCATCTCGTTTTGTCTGGTTGGCAAACAGAGCCCATTTAGACCTCTCCTCCGTCCTCCCGCCCCTTAGGTATGCCGTGTCGATGGCGAGAAGGATCGGAGCCCGCGTGTACGCTCTGCCCGAGGACCTCGTGGAGGTGAAGCCCAAAATGGTGATGACCGTCTTCGCCTGCTTGATGGGCCGAGGAATGAAGAGAGTTTAAGAGAGCCTCGCCTCCCTGAACCCAAGCCTCCCCGAAACCTCCCCCTTGTCTGCCCTGCCCAGTCCAGCTGTTCCCAGACCAAAATGCTGTCGGCTTCAAGGACTCGTGATACGTGGCTTTGTTTGTGTTTTCTGGAAGGACTCTTCCCTTTTTGCTCTGCCAGGTGGGAATGCCAGGAGGATTTTCCGAGTGGAGGGGGAAAGCATAAAAAAAAATAAGCAAACAGACATCTCTTCTTTTCCAGGGATATAAAAGGGTTTTTTTCCTTTCTTCTTAAGTGCCCATAGAAACCACATGTGTATCTTCCTAAATCAGGCTGCTGCTGGCACAGCAATAAGTGTGTGTGTGTGTCGTTCCCCCCCCCACCTCCCGGGCCCCCTCTTCATTCGCTTAGTTCTAAGGTGGGCTGCCGGCATCAGTCTCTATTGCGATACCTCCCACTCTGCTGTCTTAAAAAAAACAAGGAGGAAGAGAGAAAGAAAGAAGAGGAAGACGGTTCGTTTTTATTTGTTTCTAGTGGTCCAAAAGCGTGATGGGGATTGAGTTTTCACTGCTCTTGTTGCCTTAATGAAAAACGGGAAGTCTGAGCTGCGTGGGTGCCGTACGCGAAAGGGCGGAAAGAGAGATAAAGCATCGCCCCTGGCTCACTTACAGAAGTTCTGTTTTGCAGTCAGCACAAATTATGTGCAGAACGGCGTAATTTCTATGGTTTTATTGAAACTTTTAGCAAGTTTTAAGGAAATTCTTTTCAGCAGGAAATGGTTATCTGCCATCTCTTTGGCTTCTGAGATTTTTAGGTGGTGCTTGTGGCCCCCCATGCTTTCGAGCCTGTTTTTGCCTCCATGAGGGCTTGAAACTTGGGCTTTGTTTTTACGTAATAGCTTTGCAACCTAAGAAAACTGTGTTATGTGCCCTTTTACCACTTTCTGTGGAACGGCGCCTTACGCACAGCTCTGCCCCCCCGGTTCAGGGGTGCAAAGAGGTTAAAAGGAAGGCCGTGGTACCCCCAAAGTTCAGTCTTCCAGCAGTATTCTCAAACCTTGGTGCTGCTCTTTTTATTTCCTGTACAGCGCAACAATATTTTTTATTACAGAGGCGAGTGTGGTAAGTTTTATTTTTTTGCTAATTTTCTTTTTATATATGGGGAAAAAATATTTTTATGAGAAGTACCATCTTCAGAGGCCTGTCGCCTTACCCATAGCATAACTGAACCCAGAGAATGAAATGAATACATTTTTATATGTTATCTTGGCTCTGTTTATGTTTTGCCTGGATTTTTTTTTTCATGTGCGTGTTTCATTTTCCCCCCCTCCAGAACCTGCATGAAAAAAAAAAACACCTCCTTTTTCATTTTTGTTTTAATTTAAGATGCCATTAGATGTTTGTTAGTAGAACGGTGCAAGAGAGAGCTTTATGGATTAGGACCAGGTCGATTCCTCAAAAAAGTAGGGAGTAAGTCGTAACGTGAAGGGTGGAATGTGCCGAGATTTAAGAAACTTATTTTTTTTACAAATTTTAAAACAAAACAAAGGAAAACATGGTCACCAAAGAGGAGGCATTTTATCCATAGGAGCAAATGTACAACTTTGGCTTTTTGGCAAGCTGTTCGCTATCCCTTGAGGCCATAATGCTGCCCTGAATTATTCGAAGCAATGTAACAGGGTGGCAAAGCAGTAGTGGAAATAAAGCCATTTAAATACAAGCCCGCCTGCTCTTTGTTAACAAATCATTTCTGCCTCTCCAGTTCAGGGGTTTCCGTTTTGGGGGTTGGGTGGGTGGGATACACGGCCTGAAGGATTCTGGGAAGTGCAGTCCAGAAAGCACCTGTTTCCAAGCCCTGTCTTGTGTCTTTCCGCCCTCCTGTCTCCGGTTGCGACAAGGTGCGTCACAGATGGGCGCTCGGTGTTTCAAGCCAATCAGCATTGCTAAATGTTAACGGGTGCTGTCACTGATTAAAAGGCCAGGAACGTCTTACTCCAATGTGGCTGAAGAAGGGCTCTAATGACAGAAACACAGATGCAAAATTTAAATTAAAGCCACTCCGTTGGGATAGCCACTGTTTGACCGCCAGAGGGGGCTTTGTCTCCGTTCTCGCTGAACCCCTGAGTTTTCAGTGTGGGGCTTCCTCCCCCTATCTTTTTGCAGCTTTGGCAACTCTCTGCTTGTTCCCACCTCCCCAGCCCTTGCGCCTCATCAGATCCCTGTCAAGAGGGAATGTGCAGCATCTGCCACACGCCCACACAGTGGAGCTGTGGCCGGCTGAAAGAAATTCCCCCGGTACAGAAACTGCTTTCCTGGGTCTTCCCATCGTTTCCCCGCTTTCTGTGGGCAAGAGAAATAGATGGTGAAAGAGGCTACAGGGGCATCGGAGAACAAGTGTCCTCACAGATCTGTGAAGACGGCCCTCTTAGGAGTCTACGGACTCTTGGCTTCCCCGGGCTCAAACTCCAGAACACCAAACAATACCTTCTGATTTGAAAAGAAAGAAATCTTGATTTTTTTGGGGGGGGGGAGACCAAGCTGGGGTGGAGGGCCAAAGGGTGGGAGCTTGTGAGGAGGGAAATGGTACAAGCTGAGGGATGAGGAACACTGGGAAAAGTTTCCCCCCAAATCAGTGCTGAAACCAGTCCCTGAAGGTACGCCATGAGCTCTAAAGCAACCTTTCCTGTCTGGGAAGCCAGCTTGGTCCACAAAGAGCAGTCCTGATGCCCTGAAGAACAATGGCAAAAAACAACAGGAGAACGAGGAAACGGACACAGGGTCCCCAAGATTAGAGAAATGCAAGGGTTGGGTGGGGGGGCGATACCTTTTGTTGGCCCACTAAATAAAAAATCAGACCAACTGCAAGCTTTCGTGCAGGAGAACGAGGAAATGGACACGGGGTCCCCAAGATGAGAGAAATGCAAGGGTTGGGGGGGAGTGATACCTTTTGTTGGCCCACTAAAAAAAAATCGGACCAACTGCAAGCTTTCATGGGAAAAAACCCCACTTCCTCAGGCTGAGCACCAGCCCTTCATAGAGAGGGCTGAGCAATCCAGAAACGGACGGTGCTTCTCTCTGAGAGGTGATCTCAGTCTTCCGGCCTCCTGGCAGCAGGACTGGAATATTCAAAACCCCAAAACGCTGCCCGACGACTTCGGGACTTCCCTCCACCCCACTCACTTTGCCAGTTTCAAAAAAATTTCAAAAGTTTGTTTGGGGCTGTAGGGACGGGGGTGGGGGGGACTAAGCAACAGAAAGCCTCTGGCTCAAGTGAACGGTTATAATTTGGTTTATTTACCACGTAGAAATAGCCCATTGCGCCACATCAAAGCCAAGATGATGTTTTTTTACCTGGTGAGCATAAAGAGATGTTTCTTCATTTTGCAGTCAAACAAAGGGAGGTAAGTTTGCACACGAGAAAGCCTCCTGCTGTGGCAATCACACTGAAAAGGGAAAGGGGATTAAGCCTTCCCTTTTCTAATGATAGGTTCTCCGTAATATATAGTTCAGCTACACATTTTTTCCTGCAATGGACTGACACGGTGACCCTCTCAAAAAAACACTCAAGACCAAACCTTGGGGAGGCACAGGGGGCCACCGGAGGCTCACAGCATCATGTGTGGGTCACCCAGTCGGCCAGGAACTGGGAGTCCCAAGAAGAAGTAGCAAAGGGCTCTCGTCGCCTGCCAGCTCCGACGTGAAAGCCTCATTTTCACGGACTCACAACATGCAGCCGGATTGCAGATTTAAGGGGAGGAAAGCGGAGCCTCTTGCTTAACTTCCTGAACTGTTCTCCCTCCCCCTCTTAATCAGGCACATCCCACCCCACCCCTGACATATAGTGAAACGAGCCTTTCTTAACATGCCAGCCGGCTTAACGCCCTTTGACTAATCTAGCAGGGCAAAGCTGGCCAATACTTAAAAGAGTGGCAGATTAACAGGCGTACCACATTTTGCAAAAGAAACCCAACCTTCTTTAATAGGCAGATGGAATATATATATATATAAAATACGGAAACAGATGCAGAGGCATCTACAGTTCAGTTGCAGTGGCACCTGGTCGTCACTACGGAGAAAGCAGCCGAGCACCAACAGGTCAGAAGAATGCACAGCATCTTCTCAAATGTGGCAAAGAAACGGGGTGCCCTGTTTTGGTAGGACCCTTCACAGTCCTCTTCTCTGACGGGTCCCGATGGCGGAGGACAGCTGGATAAGGTGTCCTGATCAAAGAGATCAAGGAGGGACATGTTACGATCCATCAAAGAGGCACATTGGAGGCCCTCAATGACCCCTTGGTAGGACAAAAGCCAAGTGGCCAAGCGGAGCATGGCACAGTCACACTCCCAGGGGTTCTGAGACAAGAAGATGTACCTCAGCTTGGGTAGACCCACCAAGAGGTGACTAGGGAGGCGGCTAAGGTTGTTCCGGCTCAAATGGAGGAAGTCCAGTTCCCCCAAGGGGGAGAAAGCAGAGCCGGCGATGGAGAAGATGCGGTTGTTGTTGAGGTACAGCTTCCGCAGGCTGTGGAGGCTGCTAAAAGGGCAGCGGATCTCGGTGAGCTGGTTGGCTTCCAGGTGCATCGTCCTGAGCCGAGTTAATCCACTGAAAAGCTGATTAGGCAAATTGGAGAGGCGGTTGTGTCCTAAATTTAACACGCCCAGCCTGCCCAGTTGAAAGAAGGCATCCCTCTGGATGGTCCAGATGCGGTTCTTCCGGAGGTTGAGTTCCTTCAGGGCTCCCAGGTCCTGAAAGGAGTCCCTCCCGATGGCTTCGATGTGGTTCCTCTCCAGCGAGAGCCTCGTGAGGCGGGTCAAGCTGCGGAAAGCTTCCGGGACGTAGCGCATGTTGTTGGCGGTCAGGTTGAGCGCTTCCAGCGAGGGCAGGTGGGTGAAGACAAAGGGGTGGATCTCGAAGAGGTTGCAGTGGGATAAGTCCAAGCTGATGAGGTTCCGGAGGCCTTCGAAGGTGTTGGCGTGCAGGTAAGTCAGCCTGGGGTTCCTGCTGAGGTAGAGCACCCTCAGGTTGCACAGAGACTTGAAGGCCCCCGGGTACAGGAACGTCAGGTTGTTGTGGTCGAGCCAGAGGCTGTTCAGGTAAGTCAGGTTGCTGAAGGCATCCCCCGTCAGGAGGCGCAGGAAGTTGTGGGAGAGGTTCAGGGAAATGGTGGAGGCCGCAATCTCCTTCGGGAGGCTCCTAAGCCCGACTCTCTTGCAGGAGATGATGGCGTCCCCAGAGCACTTGCAGGAGGAAGGGCATGCCAAGGGGCTGGCGCCCAGCCCGGGCCCCAAGGACCCTGTCAAGAGAGAGAGGAGGAGGAGGAGAAAGACCTGCATATCCTGGCATCGGGCATAGAGCATGGACCGCCTCCGGGCAGACAGAAACGGTGGACAGCAGGTGGACTCGGCTAAGATGCAACCCTTTTAACAAGTGAAATGAACCTTAGGGAGCTTAAGACAGGCATGGGCTGGGGCGGGGCAGGGGGGGATGAAGGTCTTAGTCAAATGAGAACTAATATCTCCCTGTGTGTACATAAGATGAGGCACTAGAAGAGGATAGCGTATGGAGGACAGCAGTGTTGCAGTGTTGGGAGCCAGAGATAAGCGAGTACATCAGGGCTGCCCCTTGTTTATGCTGATGAATGGAAACTCCTTCCTTCCTTCCTTCCTTCCTTCCTTCCTTCCTTCCTTCCTTCCTTCCTTTGCAAGCCCCCAGAGATTGAAATGAAACGTAGCCCCGTTGGCACTGATTAAATAGGAACAAACAAACAAATGAAAACGGATCAAACCCAGTAGGAAGAATTCTTCCCATTAATGAGAGGAACTTGTTATCCATCCTCACCAGATAGATGGTGAAGAGACGGGCTTTTCGGAAGAGGAAGAGCCGGCAACCTTAGTTTTATTTATTGTCTTAACTTGTATTTATTGTCTTCCCTTCTTAGAGGTGTTGCATGTGGGTATCTGGGGTGGAGCAATTTGTTGTGCTGTCTTATTGTAAAACCCAAGAGCGGAATGGAGGCGTAGGGTCTTGTTTCAGTGTCCTCCAGATTAGCGATGGGCACAAACTGACGGTTCGTTTATGGGCTGAACAGCTGCTTGGCCCTTCAGAGCCCCATCGCCTCTGGCAGGCACCCACTGGCCTCCCCGCCCCGCTTCCTCCAGGCCTGCCTCTGAGTGGGCACCCACTGGGAGGAGGCAGGACTGGGAAGTGCCAACGCCTGTTTGGCCAATAAATGGACTGTCACGAACCTCTGAATGGGCAGATCGTGCCCACCTCCAGCTCCAGATTCAGTTTAAAATCTGACAACTTGAACTCCGCCTACCTGGCCAACCCACTGTTGCGCGTGCAATCCATCCTCTGTCACCAGGTGCCAGGGTGGTGCAAAGGGTCACCCTTGTATCTCCTCCCACAAGTGGGAGCCCATGGTTTTTCCATCCTGAATGTGCTTTTGAAGGCTTGTGAATTCTAATTCTTTAAAAAAACAAAACAGGATCTTGAAATGGAATGGTCACAGACCTTGCCTGATGCATCCGGAATCAGGGTATCGTGCCTAAATTACCTGATGGAGGAATTACAGGCAGCTTCTGAGTTCCTGCAAGTTTTTGATTAGCAAACAGGAATGTAAGTCTGGGAATCAGAACAAAGAGGGGGTCAAGATTCGCTTGTGCACACCGAAAGGAAGTCAGCTGGGGCTGCGGAGTGTTTGACAGCATTGGGAGCACAACAGTTGTGAGATAATCCAATGGCTTAGATCCTGCTAGGTCCCAGCTGCTGCCCAAGCAGCTTTGCATTGGGGTTGTCTTGCTCGCGGCCGCCCTGGGGAGGAAGAATAAGGCTGAGGACAGGCGGCTGAAAGTGGTTCTGCTTTCCTTCAACTCCCGGGCGCCTGTAAATCTGTTGAGTCTCCTGGCCAGAAACGCCACCAGACACCCCCAAGGGGTGCGGATTACTGGATTCCTGCAAACTGAAAATGGGCAGAACGGCGTCCCGTCCTTCAGCTAGAGACCCTTGAGGAGAGAGCTCATCCTTGTGCCTGATTTATTCACAGAGCTTGGACCCCTTCCATCTTCTGAGCTGTAACTCCCAGGAACCCCCACACTGGCAGGAAGTGTCCGGGAGCTGCAGTGCAAGGTATGACACCTCCCAGTTCTGCTGACTGGACAAAGCAACAGCCCTGGACATCAATTTTGCCCAGATTTTAGTAGATCTGATTTGGTATCTCTCCTCTGCAGTTCCACGCTCCCTTTGGCTTTTTTCCAAGGACATCTACAAAGATAATTCCTGGCTCCATCTTCTGCAGAAATTCTAATCATTCCAACACCTCCTTCCTTCGTGATTTGATGCCTCCTGCTGGGCTCAATTTCTCTGTGATTCATTCCCTGGTTTTACTCCCTCTGCCCCACATGGGAGATCTCGCCCCCAACCTCTGGCAGAGTCATCCTAGACATGGAGGGGGAAAAAAGATCAGCAAATCTTAGCACCTGCGGTCAATGTGGCCCCCTCCAGAGGTACTGATGTACAACATCCATGATCTCCTCATAGGACAAGGCCCAAGACCCTATTGGTTGGGAAGGATGGGGCTTGCAGTCCCACCCAGTCTGTCTGGCAGGTGTCAGACTGCAGAAACCGGTCCTCAGTGTAGGCACACTGCATCTTTTCCACCCTGCATTGAGAGAAAGGGCCATCCATCCATCCATCCATCCATCCATCCATCCATCCATCCATCCATCCATCCATCCATCCATCCATCCATCCATCCATCCATCCATCCATTTCCACAATAGGACTCCTGCAGGCTCAAGGACTCCTTTAAGGAGCCAGTCCATCTCATATTTAGGCTTCCTCTTTTCCTGCTGTCTTCCATGTTTGTCAGCATGATGGTCTTTTTCCAGAGAATCCTGCCTTCTCATGATATGCCCAGAGTAGGACAGCCTCAGCTTCAACATTTTTGTCTCCAGAGAGATTTCAGGCTAGATCTGCTCTAGGACCCGCTTGTTTGTCTTTCTGGCTGTGCAAGTTACCCACAAAGCTCTCCTCCAGCAGCGCAGTTCAAACGAATCACAGCCCAATCCCTGCTTGTCCTTGTGATCGCACAGAAAAGAGCAGAAATCCAAACACAGGGTGAACCTTGGCTCACAAGAGCTCACCATCCAAAGAATCGCCTGCCGGTCTGGCTCATCCCACCTACAGTTTGTTGTGACTCATGAAGAGGGCGACAGGAAAGCATTGGGCAAATTCTTTGAAAAACATTTCAAGTTGGCAACCTTGGACGGAGAGAGCAAAATGCAGGGAAAGGTTGTTTAGATGGAAATATAAACAAAAGGGTGCTTGGCAGTTATCCGGGAGAACAGAGGGTCTGCCCAGCCGGCTCAGCGCATGGCTGGATCAGACCTCAGGAGAAGGCGAGATCTCTCTCCCCCACTTTGCTTTCACACTTGCTAGCAGGAAGCCAACTAGCAAAGAGAAGAGCACACTAAAGGAGAGGCCGGAGGAGGGCAATATTTTGTATGGGCCAAATAATTTGCACAGAAGCAGAATTAGGGATTGATTGGCAGAATTCAAGCCCGATTCTACGGCATCTTTCTCGACAGGACAGAAACGGAGATTGGGTCTAAAGTCCCAAGCCCGGGTGCACACACCAAGGATGTTGGCAAGTTTTGGGGTCCACACCCTAAGCCCCAAAACTGAGTCCCTATTAAAAATGAACTCCCCTCCCCAAGAAAAAAAGGGGGAGTGGGTGGGTTCTGACTCATGAGTCAATTGCAAGGCATTGAACAAAACCCCCTGAGTCGAGTGCGAGTCGAGTCCGCGGGGCCGTGTACCCATCCCTGGCGCACACATGCGCAGGCATTTCCACAGACAGGAAAGCAGGCAGGTAGGCTCTTTTAGAGTCAGATGCAGGCAAGGTGGTCGATCCTGGAGGAAAGGAGGCCGAAGGAGTCAACTGGGCGGTAGGGAACATAGCCTGAGATGATGGGGTGGGGGTGCGGAAGCAGCACCCCCACCTCCCCTTACAGATGAGCCCCCACTATCTTTTAGCCTGAATGCTGAAGGGTCAGAATGCCGGAGGAAAGCAGGACAGGGCAGAACTGGTGGGAGAGAAAGGCAGGGCGAAGCCTCCTCTCCTTCCAAACAGCTGTATTTGGTGCTGGGCTTGCCCTCCTCTCGGCCTCTCGTCGCTTATTGGCTGCAGAGAGAGAGGTATATAAAGCGTCTCCCGGCCTTCCCGCCCAGAAGCCGCAGATCCAGCACAGCTGTAACTTTTGCAAAGGATTTTCTGTTCACCTTCCTATCTGCGGGGCTTTGTGAAGAAAGCAGGCACATCTTGAGACTTTACCATAAAACTGGACCGCTACCTTTCTCTGGATAGGGGTTTCATTTCCAGTCTTAAAATTAAGGTGCATTCAGCTCTGTGGGAAGAAAAAGCAAGCCGGAGAAAGAAGCTAGAGACAGTTAAGATTTTGCTGAGCGGCCAGACCATGGTGGCGGACCCATCGTGGTCTACTGTTGACTAGAGTCTGAACGTTGCCCAAGGTAAACCACTGTTCCTTTCCTCTTCTGTTTTGAGTTTTATTTTGAAAGGTTGGCTTTTTTTTTAATATTGTAAGATATTAATATCAGCCACTGTCTATCCTTTAATATATATATTAAAGGAAGCTAACTTATGGGAATTCTTCTGCATCAAAGAGTGGGATAGAAATCATATAAGCAAATATTTATATATATCACTATAAACCTTATGTGCCTGCACATTATAAAGGATCACTTTTCACACAAGTAAACTGACCTGCTGATTCTCAGTTCAGCTGAGTCAAAAATCTGAAGGTAGAGTCATGGTGTGATAAGCATTAATCTTCTCAAAGGGTAAACTAAGAACAATTGCAATGTATTCCTCAGAAGTTGTAGACATTTCCTTGCTGAGCTGTGATTCCCAGAGTCTTCCAGCCAGCAGGAAGCATGGAAGCTGTAGTCCAAAAGAGTAACTTTTCTAAGCACCTGTATTTCTCAAGTGTGCATTTTGTGATGCCAGTATATTTTCTTTTGTTCCTGATTCCATTGCGCTTTATTGCTTCTTCTTTCCGAAAAAGGCCTTAGCGGTTGAAGAAAGTGCAGCCGACAGCTTGCATGCCTGAGAGATCTCGGCCAGCTCACGTCCCTCTGCCAGAGGCCAACATGCACTCCAGTAACGATTCTCTGGCCACGGCTACCAGAGGGACCTTCCAGGATCTTCTCCACCCGTCCCCAACCAACGTCTCAGCCCGGTCGTCCCCCTGCCCCATCCTCCCCTCCACTTACCAGTTTGTTCTCATCCCGGTCCTCTACTGCATCATCTTCATCCTTGGGCTGGTGGGGAACAGCATCGTGATCGCCGTGCTGTGTTGGCAGAGGAACCCCAAGACGGTGGCCAACGTCTACCTCCTCAACCTGGCTGTGGCGGATCTCCTAGCTATGACGACAGTCCCCTTCTGGGCCGTTTACTACGCCTACGGATACAACTGGCTTTTTGGCTCGGTGATGTGTAAGCTCTCGGGCTCCGTCCTCTGCCTGACCATGTTCGCCAGCATCTTCTTCATCACATGCATGAGCATGAATCGCTACCAGGCCATTGTCCACCCGTTCCAGTCCCAGCAGGGGACGCTTCAGCAGGCGTTCGCCACCGTGCTGGTGGTTTGGGGGCTGGCCGCCTTGGCATCTCTGCCCACCTTCTACTTCCGGGACACCAAATACATCAAAGAGTTGGACGTGACCGCCTGCATCATGGCTTATCCTTCGGAGAAGTACTCCAACTGGTCGGCAGGAACAGCCCTGATGAAAAACACCCTGGGCTTCCTGATCCCTCTGGCCATCATCATGGCGTGCTACATATGGATCCGCGTGCACCTGATGAAGGCTCGGGGTTTTCGGAAATCCAAGCAAATGAGGGACCACGCGTTGAAGCTGGTGGCCGCCGTGGTCGTGGCCTTCTTGATCTGCTGGCTCCCCTTCCACGTCCTGACATTTCTGGACGCCCTGTCGTGGATGTCTGTGATCAGCAACTGCCAAGTCACATCTGTCCTCGATGCTGCTCTGCCGTTCGGGCTCTCCATGGGCTTCACCAACAGCTGCATCAACCCGCTGCTGTACTATTTCATCAGAAGACAATTCCGGGACAAACTGCAACACTTGTTTAAGCTGAGCCTCTACCGGTTCAACAGTAACCGGGAAATCTTTTGCTCCAGCCAGACCAGCTCTCTCAAAACCACCAAGTCCCTGGTGGGCGCAGAGCAAAGAGGAGACACAGACAGGCCACAGACCCCTCTGTGGGTTCCTTGAGCACATCTGGAAGTGATTTAAGACAATGTTGGGCGTCTCTCTCTCTCTGTTCTTCCCTGGTTTCCCACAACACCAAACTGTCTATGTTTTCAATGTCTTGAGAGACTTCTGTGCAGAAAAAGCAGTCGTGTGTTTTTATTGTGCCTTTAAAGCAAAAATCAGGGGTGGAATTATTCAGGGGCAATAAACATCTGGAGAACATGACAATCCCACAGTTGCGTGACATGACCAAGGTGGCTGAGCTGGTCTGGTTTCCTTCCTTGCTGTTTCGTAATGCTCCCATGGGGCAAGATAAGGACACAAAGGGATACCCATTAAGGGCTGCTTAACCCAATAGTTTCCATGTAGCTCTTCCCCCCTTATTAGTACTGTGCATTTTTAAAATGTCTCCCTGCAGGCTGGAGGGGATACCTGGCAGTTTGAGGAAGGCTTCTAATGGCTAGCTTTAAAAAGCTATTTGATCCAGTTCTGAAAATGGTGGTAAAACCCTATGGGAATGTGTGGTCCATTGAGCTGTATCTCAGCATTCTTCAAAACAGTGGCCTCGGACCACAGCTACCATCATTACCGGTGGCCATGCTGCCTGTAAGAAGAAGGGGTCTGTAGCCTAACACCTCCGGGAGGGGGCTGGTTTTAGGGAAGGCTGCAGTAACCCTTCCTAGCAATTTCTGGGAACAGTGGTGGACCTACATTTTGGGGGCCCTGAAGCTTGAACTGTTCTGGGGGCCCCTTTCTCAACCAATGTCTTAGCCCCCTTTCTCAACCCCTTCAACGGGGTTATTCCACAGCCGATCACCACAAATTTCTTTAAAATGTGGGACTACAGTTGTTTCTGGGGCCCCTCCAGGATTAGGGCCCTGAAACTTAAGTTTCATCAGTTTGCAAGTAGATCCGCCCCTTGTCTGGGAAGTTGTAAGATGCCATTTCCTGACAACTCAATGAAACAAGACCTGATGAGAGGATGATGGGTCTGTCCTGCGGCTCCTGGTTTGCCGGCAGATGGTCATCAATCCCCTGCTTCAAACGATCTGAGAAGAGGCCACTAGAAAGACCCCCGTCCGCCTGCCAGAACAGCCAGCATGTAAATCAGCTTTGCTTCGGATTTGTCAAAATGTGGCTTTTTACAGAAGGTCCATTTTTTTAAAAAAAATGCAGACTCTACCCCACTGTAGGGATTCATGGTTTATTGGTGCTCAGCCCTTGTGGAGTGAAATTCCAAACCTTTTCACCTTTATTGCCAGAGAATTCCCTTTCAAAATCCCATCTGGACAAAACTGAGGAAGTGTGACCGCCCCCCAAAATAAAGAACTTCCCCAGGTTCTCCAGTTTCAAGGAGGCTGGCTAGCCTTAGGATCCCACAGTTTGGCGACAGATGCTCGGTTTATGGAAAGCACCTTTTAAAGTTTTGGAAGAGGTGGCCGTGATAGTCTGTGCAAGCACATCAGGCCACGAACAAATGAAAAATTAAAAAGAGACGAAAGCATTGTGGCGCCTTAAAGACTAACAATTATATTTTAATGTGAGCTTTTGTGGACCTTCTTAGACCACTTTGTCAGATGCATGAGGTGAAAAACAGGATGAACATCCTAAAACATTCACGCTGGTCTCTTGATAGATAGGGGTGTCTGGCTGCACATTACACACATCATAATTTATGATGACTTCTCTTTGGTTTACAGTTCTGTAAAGCCACAGTTGATCTTTTAAGTTCTTCTCTCTCTCTCTCTCTCTCTGCTTTTGTCTCATTCTATGTCTCTTGCTGGAATGTTTCCAGAAATTACTGCACGTGCGAAATGCAACCGTACACCCCTGACTCTCAAGAGTCCAGCGTGAATGTTTTAAGGTGTTAATTCCTGTTTTCCACCTGGTAGGTCTTATGAAGTGGGCTAAGGAGGCCCATGAAAACGCACATCAAAATACAATTGTTACTCTTTAAGGTGCCATAATGCTTTTGCTTCTTTTCTCTCTTTTTAAATTTTTCCTTTTGTTTTGCTCTGATAGACTCCTGAAAGGTGTGCGAAGGAGAAGCAGGAGCGCCCACGGGGAAGGCTTCCTATCACTGGCAAAGACGGTGCTTGTTTACAAGCCGTGTGTTCTCTTAAGAAACATGGTTTGGGACTGCGTGTTCCTTTTCCCCTCCCCTCTCCCCACCCCACTCCTTCCAGCAGCTGTGGCCGATCATGGCTCAACTCCGGCAGGCCCTTGATTTATGGGACCGAACATTTGGGGGGAGCCTTGCAAGGGGGCCTGCGGCCAGCTGGAGCTCGCTTCTCCCCTTCCTGGCCTGGAAAGGAGGCAGTGAACATTTCGAAAGGCTTTTTTTCGGCACCGCCTGCCAATGTTCTGCCCAAATGGGAGAGGATCCAGCAACCACTGAAGCTCCCTTGTTTCAACAGGCAGGGAGGGAAAACAAACCCAGAGGCTGCAGCGGGGCTGAATTCTGAGACTTCCCAGCCAAGAAGGTCATACAATTTTAGGAAGAATCCTGCCCGGGTCTTTCATACCAGTGCAGTGGCTGTGTCTCCTGACTGGAGAAGGCTTGGATCTGACATAACCTGGCTTCTCTCTCACTCTGCCCCTTTTTACTGGCAGAGGTGGGGAGCCACTGGGGTGTCTCAGGTAGGGTGCTGGACCAAGAGATCTGGATTCAAATCATTGCTCAGCCATGGCAAAACCACTCACTGAACATCTTGCATCCCTTGAGAACACTATTAGGATTGCAGTGATCAGAAGCCACGTGGGGACACAACCTCATCATCACTGGAAGATCCTAGGGAGCAGAGCCCTTTCACCTCCAGATCTCCTGAGATCAGTCCATACAGAAGGGCTCTGCCAGTGGAAGGATCGTTCTAAGGAGACCTGCCTAAAAGTACAACTGCCCCACCTGAGAGGTAAAATCACTCCACAACTTGTTCAAGAGCTTTGGTGGACTTGAAGCATCCGATGGATGGCTCTCCCGTGAAAGCTTCTGTCACAAAACATGGACTCATTCTTTTATCAGCCACGAAGCCCGTGCTCAGAAAAGCTAGGGGTGGTGGGTTGGTATGGCAGAATCCTCCAGCCAGGCTGCTGGGAGGTTCATCCGCAAGGTTACTTTCCTAAGCTCCGACAAGATGTGGCAGATGCTAAAAAGCTCAGCCTTCCTTTGTAATCAGGGAGACATGAACTTAAAACTGTATCAGGAGCTCCAAAGGTGGATCTTGACAACTTTTCTGTTCAGAAAGGTGGCAACTCTTTGCTTGAAGGAAGAAGCCGGCAGGCAGGGTGTAAATGGAGCTGCTCCTCCCCAGGCAAACTGTCTCCAAGTCAGAAAGTAATCTGCAGCCATCTCAACTAGAGAGGAGCACAAATAGGGGGGAAAAAATTGAGATTTGTTTTGATTCGTGATTCGTCGAATAACAAATGTATGATTTTTTCCTCTCTGATGAATCAAGGAAACAATTCACCAATTCATTTTTGCCTTTAAAACGAATAACGAATGTATGATTTTTTTTCCTCTCTGATGCATCAAGGAAACAATTCGCCAATTCATTTTTGCCTTTAAAACCCTATAAAGTGGCTTCCCAAGCACCCTGACTAGTAGCTGAGGTTGACTCTAGCCTTTTCCCTCTGACCGGTAGCTGAGGTTGACTCTAGCCTTTTCCCTGCTCTTTTTGAACAGGGACGGTGCATGTGTACATGCATAACTTAAATGAAGCTGATTAGCTCTCCCTCCTTTCCAAAGTTACTCTCCTTTTGCTGCTCTAGAGAGACAGAGAAGTTCCAAGATACTAATCCTTTGATTCCAAGGAAGCAGGAAACATCCTAAATGTGAAATGTACACCAAAGACCTCGGCCCATGACACCCTGTAATTGTCAAGCTTCATTTTCTCAGCTCTAAGCTACACCAAAAACCTCTGCTGGTGACACCCTGTACATTGTCAAGCTTCATTTTCTCAGCTCTAAGTCCTGATCTGACCTTGTTCTTAAAAATAAATAAATAAATGTGCTTTTCTCACACTAGCACATTCCTGGCTCCTGGGAATTCCTTGTCTATTGACAGATTGCTTCCGGATCCTGCGTGAGACATTCCACCAGGGTATGTTGTGTGGAGACACTGGTCTTTGTTACCTTGTTCTTAAAAATAAATAAATAAATGTGCTTTTCTCACACTAGCACATTCCTGGCTCCTGGGAATTCCTTTATTGACAGATTGCTTCCGGATCCTGCATGAGACATTCCACCAGGATATGTTGTGTGGAGACACTGGTCTTTGTTGGGGGATTCTGGGTTCTGTAGTCTAATATTTCCCCCCAGGTGCTGGACAGAATACATGGGAGTGTGGGAGAGATCAACCTTGTGGAATGAAGAAGGGAGTGGAAGTCTTGACAGCCGCTTGACTTCCAAGCCGAATAGAATCAGCAACTCTTCTGCCTTTCCTGCTGGGAAGAAACTGATCCTGCCGGCCACTCACTCAAAAGCAGCATTTTTCCAAATACTGGCAGAGGAAACAGTGGCAGGCGGGGAGGGTCTTGCATTCCAGTGCTTGAAGGACTGCTCACAGGTGTGGGGAAAAAACAGTCTTGCAGCTCCGTAAAGACTTTACTTCGGCACATCTTTTCATGTACCACCTGGAGCCCCTTTATCGGATGCCTCTGTGGGCTGTAAACATTTGGGCCAGATAAAATGTGTTACTTTTAAAGACCTGGGATGGCCAAAAGTGTCAATTGAAAAATGCAAGAGTAGGGAATACCTTTAGAGGCCACAGAAAAAAGCAATGTATCATCTGCGAGCTTTCATGGATCAGAATCACTGCGTCAGGCGTGCACCAGTGTGAAGAACTGATGGACCTTCCATCTAAGAGTAACTTTCCTGGGAAAACCCATCTTGCGATGGGCTTCTGGACATTAAGTTCTTCACACTGGGACACACCTGATGAAGTGGTCCTGATTCATGAAAGCTCACAGGTTGCATGATGATTCCTTTAGCGGTCTATAAAAGTATTGCCTACTCTTTCATTTGTATTGACCACATGGCGCCCTTTTATTACAGTTTCCTTCAAAGGTGGTTAGACTGCAGCTGTAAAGAAAACTCTTTGCTCTTCCACCTGAACAATATAAATCCCGTACTAAACTCAAAGCTCTTGTCTGAGCACAAAGCCTCCTTATTCGAAGGCACCATCAGACAACGTTGAAAGGATTGTGGCTGATCACACCAGAAAGGGTCCCTTTGC